TGTGAAACTGGGGTTGCAGTGGCAAAAGCAACTGGGTCTATTTACAACCTAAAGATTTTAAGCTGACCACAGCTGTGGTCATTAGCAACCCACCTCCTGAACAAGGAGAATAACAAGGAGAGAGCAGCCCTCCACTGCAAGGTGAACCTGTGTGTGAGCCTCGTGACTGGCTGCCATGTGCAGTGAGCAGCCAAGAGGCCTTGGAGAGGGGCCCTGTGTGTGGCCAAGGGCTGCTCTGGGACAGCTCCGGGGCTGGAAGGCCTTTCCCTGCAGGAAGGGGGCTGGGAGCAGCCCACATCACTGCACGGGGCTCCTGCAGCCTGCCCTGCCTTGCAGCGGGGCTCCTCGTCAGCTGGGTGCATCGCTGCTGGGCTGCTTGTTCAGCGCTCCTGCAAACTCCTGGAGCAGTGCAGGAATTCAGTGCATAACTTCCTGGAAATGGCTGTGTGGTGCAGTGCAGCATAAATGTTGTTCTAATGCAGCAGTGCTGTCTGGGCAACAGCCTTCTCTAGTAGAGCCAAGATGCCCAAGTGGGGCATGATATAATGCAGCTACAAAGCCCCCAAGGCACTGTCCTGGCTCTCTCTGGTTTTATGTTGTGCCCCATAGGCCTTCCCTTCCCCTGTGCACATTTATTTCTTGTGCCAGTAGTTCAGCTCCCCTCTGCAGCCATGCCCAGAGTGGATGGGATTTGTTTTAACAGTCCTGAGACTTTGGTCTGGCCACTCAGTCCTGCTGCTTAAGAAACCACCAATCTGTGGTGTGGCAAAGAGCAAACTGGTTGGGTTTTATTGTGTGTCTGTGTGCTGGGCAGGGCACTGCACCCTGCTGCTTGTGCAGAGAGCTTGGCAAGGTCTGTTTGGGGCGTCAGTGTTACAATTTGTCTTTGTGGCTGGCATGAAACTTCAAATGGTTATGGAGAACAAAGCAAGATGCATCTGGGATATAGGGATCCATTCCTAAGGATGGGTAGGAAGAGTCTCTGCAGAACTGACTGTGCGTTAGCTTGTTTACAACTTATCCAGTTAAAGCACTGCCATAATGGCTTATGTACACCCCTGATCATCTTGCTGCTTTTTTTGCCCTTTCTAGGTCTTGGTTCTGGATTTTCTGCCCTGCAACCTGGGCACATCTCTCCTCAGCTATGAGGAAATCAATAGGATTTCAGGTCTCTGTGGTTGCCTGCAGCATCCTGTTCTTATGCTCCAATCCACCATGCCTTGCATCTCAGGACCTGGAGGAGGGGGATGTGACAAAGCTCCAGCCTGGCCCATGGGCTGAGAATGGGGTAGAAGATGAAAGGATAAGCTTGTCATCTTTGAAAAATATCCTGGACCCCTCTGAGCAACCAGTCTCTGAAGAGGCGTTTGGAGTGTCAGCAAAGTCATCTGAGATGCCCTTAAGTGAAGCTTTCACAGCTGAAAGAGAAATACAGCCTGCAAGCCCAAGGCCTGTCTTTCCAAGCAGCCAGAGCCTGGATGTTTACACCCCTGCTGGGGCAGTGACTGCTGCAGAAGAGAAGGAATTTGATCCTGCGAAGCCAGAGAAGGAGCTGAATGGCAATGGTGAGCTCAAGGCCATGCTCACCACAGCTGTGACCACCTTGAGCCCTTCCCTGGAGGAGGAACCTGTGAGTGGCCCTGCTAGCAAGAGCCCTGTGGAGGATAGTGCTGAGGTAGAGGCTGGCTTTGCCAGTGTCCTGGCAGCTGTCACAGAAAGCGGATTTGCTGCCTTGGAGAAGGCAGGGAGTAACTTGGACAGCTTGACTGCACTCAGTGAGCAAGTTCCCACTTTGCTCCCCAGCACTCCCAGTCTGGAAGTGGCAGGTGACTACTCTGTGATCCCTAGTCCTGAGCCTCAAAGTGTGGACTCGGAAGCTGAAACCCCAAGTGCAGACATGGGGAGCCCTTTGCAGATACTGACTGCACCAGGACGTGTTGCTGCAAACCTCCCTCTTGCACCTACTGAGGTTTCCTTCCCTGTGGAAGTGGGGATGGATGGCAAGCAAGGAGAGCTGCCTGTCATGCCTAGCACTGTCACTGTCCACCCAACTGACTCGGTGCCTCCTGACTGGGATGACACGAAACTAGGGAATATAAGTCAAGGGGGAAACCTGCAGCGTGAGGAGATGAGAGAGGATCAAGCGGCAGCAGAACCACCTCGGACCCCCCAGGGAGATGTGGGGGAGGAAGATGATGTGACAAGAGTGCTGCCATCTCCTGTATCTGCTCCAGCAACCCCTGGCACTGCCAAGGAGAGCAACTCCACAGCTCTGGTGTCAGCACAGAGGGAGGAAATGCCAGTAGCTTCCACAGGCCGCAGTGATGTTTCTCTCACTGTGAGCTTGACAGGAATAGACACATCTGATTTAAACTCTCTGGAAAATACAGACACAGTCACAGCAGAGGAAAGGAAGAGCATTGCTCTGTCATTGCCAGAGGCTGCTGTGGTGACAGAGATAAAATCGGATGTCCTTCCTGCTCTGAGAAGCTCACTAGAAGGTAAAAACTTGTCTGTCAACAGGATTTTTTTCTTCAAATGCAGATTTGAGAGGTCTGTTTCCCTTTTGGGGGGATAAAATGGGCAATGGAGGATAGGATCTCCTCTAGACTGGGAAAGGCGATAAAATTCTGTGGTTTGTCTAGGTGATAACTCCAGCAGGTCATTTTAATTTGCATTTCACTACAGCCCAGTGTTCAGCACTTCTATAGGCAGCTGTGCTCCTGCAGGCAGATTCTTGACTTCTAAATTATGTGAATACTTGTCTGTGCTCTTCCTCATCAAACTGGAAGAAAATATTTTAGTAACAAATAGCAGTGCTGAGACTGGAAGGGCAGTGCTGAGTCTGGGGATGAAGAATGTACTGAAACTCCATCAGCAGAGACTCAATCCTCTTTTAACACTGAAGTCAATCAAGTTAGCTTAAACTGTGTCCTATACTACTGAAGCAAAGACATCAGGTTTGGTGCTCATAGCTGTTAACCATTGTATGGGCATCACATCTTGATCCCACAGGTATGGATCTGCTGTGAAAAGCCCTCTGATCTCCTGTCTAGGAAGGGAGTGTAGTCTCTGACCAACTGAGTACTTGATTTCAAGTGCTCGTAATACAAGTCCAGTTGTCCTTGTGGTGCAGTGAGTGCAAGAAGTCAAAGGTGGAGTTCTTAAACCAGCTGTAACTGCAGTGTTACACAAGGAAGGACAAATCCTCCTTTGAGGGCTGGGTTAGTTAGTGTATGGGATTGACTGCTAGCTTCAGGCACTTGCAGTCCGTGCAGCAGATGTAAAGATAAAGGCTAGCTGGAAGTGCTGGTTAAATCCAGGCAAGCTGTCCCACTAGCCTTGGTGAGACTTGGATCTTGGTCTCCTCTCTTCATCCTTAGAGAATCATGGAAAAAGGCCTGTCCAGAGCCTTGCTACAGAGAAGACAGTAAAGTAGTTCCTGAGCTCTGCTCCCTGCAGAGCAGAACTGTGACAGGCTCTGACTCTGCTCCTGCAAGTGCAGGGACCAGTAGGATGAAACTCTACTCCTAGCCCTTGGCAGGCTCAGTCTTACCCCACACCTTGCTTACCTGCCTAGATGTCACCTTTAGCTTGCTGACTTCCCATCCTGTCTAAAGTAGGGGCAAGAGAAAATAGCAAAGTCTTTTGGGATCAGTATTAGGCAGTGGCTTGTTCCTAGGCTGACTCAAAGCACTAGGTATGGTTAGGACTTAATTGTCCTAATTGCTGGAGTTATCCAATCTCCACTTCAGGATGCAGTGTTGGAGAAAAGGACCATTTTCCCTTCCCTACATCCTTAAGATCCCTCCTTTTCTAAAACAAAAGGAAAACTAATTGCGTGCTGGTGCTGAAATTAGACTAATTTATGGATTAATTTATAACCACTTGACTTGTCAGCAGGTTCCCCTTCTCTTCCCTAATGTTGGTAAAATAACAGCTAGCATTGATTTGTGTGAAAACAAATCCTATGAAATGCTGAGAAATCCTTCTTGCTGAGCTCCAAGAGCTGATCACTAAGAGCCTGATCCTGGCATCCCTTATTGCTCTGCATGTAGCTCCACACAGCAGGGCTGCAGTGCTCTGATCCTGTGTCACTGCTCACTAGCGAGTCCTCTGCTGCTCAAGGAGCAACTATAAAACAAAAGCAGCAGGATCCTTCCTGTTATGTGGTGTGATTATTTTTTGTGCTGTTTTCTTCCAACAGCACTTGGTTAGATCCAGTACTTGTGCTCTGGCAATGCTAATGTGTGGCATAATCATGTGTTCAAATGTCTGTTCCGCTACTGCCTGATGAACTGTGAGTTGGTGCTGACACATGTTCTTGCTGTAGGTGTCACCCAGGAGATGACAACAGCTCCCCAGGACACTGATGCTGCCCCATCAGTTGTGACCTTGGCACCTGGTGCTACCCAGGGAACTAGAGTGGAAAGTCTTCCTTGGGAGGAAAGTAGGAGGGATACCCAGATGCCAGCTGTTTCCAGTCCCACCCAGATGTTGACAGCAACTGATGCTGCTTCCACAGCAGAAACTCTAGATGTTGAAGGTAGGATTTTGCTTCAAGGTCTTTGCAGACCTGTTTGTCACAGAAGATGTGATGGTGCATCCAAAATTGGTGCTTCTGTATTGAAGTCTTCCAGCATCTATATATTAACTTGCATTTTTCTGACCTTTTGAAGGCTGGCTCTAGCTTTGGCAATGCTTTCTGCCCATAAAACTGCATTCATCATGTTGAAATGTGCCAGCAGAGCATTTTTTTTAACCCCAGAGCATTGGGGGGATTTCACCAAAATCTTGCCTTAACTCTGGTGTCTGTGGCTGAAAGCTTATTTATCAAGAAGAGTTGTTCTCTGATTTCTGGAGCCACAGTAGTTATAGACAGCTAGTGCTTCGTCCAAAGGAACGAAAAGCTGCTTTGGGATAGGGTGTGGGACCATTAAGTATGATTTGTATTGGAATTTATAAAACCCTTGAACTTGAAAGCCTGCATAGATATCCACCTCACTTGAATAGTGGTGGCTTCTTGGCTCTCTTGCTCCTTTGCTCCTTCAGCCACTCTTAGCAAGGATGTAGCTCATGGAAGCACTTGAAGCAGCTAGTGACAGCTTCCTGACTCGATGTCACCTTGGCAGCTACATGCTGAAGACTGCCCCTTTAATAGGAGCTTAGTAAGAGTTGTCTTAGCCCAAGGCTCTGAGTGCCAATGTGTTTCTATAGCAGGTACCACTGCAATGAAACTGCTGCTGGGGAGCTTTCCTGGTAAGCTGCATATTGCAGGGGATCAAAGGAAAAAGACTTCAGTTTGCATCAGTTCTCTTGGAGTTAGGTTGCTCTGCAGGGGAGCCAAGACTTTTCCAATAGTTTCCACTAATTAATCTGCTTCTGGGATTTAATTACAAATTCAGTTAACTTTTATTCTTGCAATAAAGGGATCTGTCACTTGGTTCAGAACTTGATCAGTGTCTCCGTGCTCTGATCTTGCTGTGGGGTGGTGACTAGCAGCCCTCAAAGCACTGGAAGTCAAAGGTTGACTGTCTGCTCATTAAGGGGGACCTCCTGTGCTGGCTGTCCTGGAAGGAAAGCTTTTATTACAGCAGTCGCACCTCATGGAAGATGCAGGAGTTTAATAGCTTCTTTCAAAGTTGAGCTTTAATTAAGGAGTTCAGTTTTTAATGGTGATTTTAATATTGCTTTGCCAAGCTGCTGCTTTCCATCTTCCCTAGATTTCACAGATGTGGTCCCAGACACCAGTGAAAAGACTGTTCTACCTCCTGGTGATTCCTCTGCTACCCAGCCTGGACAGACAGAGGAGCCACCCAGCAGACCTGTGGTACTGGTGACACCAGCATCAATGGCCTCTGTGAGGAGGACTGCTCTTCCCTCCGTGAGGAAGATCAGTACGGCTGTGACCTACGGGCTGGACCGGCTGGAGTCAGAAGGTACCAGTTATCCCAAGGCTAAAAGGCAGGCACCTTGATGTGGAGTGGCACACTTCTCTTAGCAGTGTGACCTCACCAAATGGTCTGTTTGGCACAGTTATGTGCATGTGGTTATATATACTGTGATTAATAAAGATGTTGGATGATCTGTCCCCTTCCAGGGGTACAGGGAGTTAGCAGTGAAAAGTGTCCTCGAGATGCTTAATCACATGGGTGTTGTGGGAGACACCCAGACAGCCCTTGTCACTACTGCTGAACTCCTCTTCCTAGGCAAATACAAAGGGATGCTCTGCATGAGGTGGGTGTCTCAGTGGAGCTGGCTCAACACCTTGCCAGCACAAGTGCTGTCCTGTTGTCACTCCAGGTGACAATGCTGGGAGCAGGTGGGGGTCCCCTTGGAGATGCTCTTCCAACTCAGTGCTGCCTGTGAAGCTGCTCTCCAGTGCTGGCTCCTCTGGCCTTGCCTCACACCAAGGATTCCCTTTTCCTGTTAAACTACTCTTGCTTTTGCCAATTTTGCTCTCTTAGTCTCTGTTCCTGCACCACCAATCTCCAGATAGTTCATACTCAGCGATGTCACTTCTGCCTAAGTAAACCTCTGTCAGGAGAGGTGTAGAAGTAGATGCTCCTCTGGAGTTAGCCTGCAGCTCTGATTCAGCACCTCTTCAGCTCACTCATAACTCTCCTGCAGAGAACTGCTTCACTCCTGCATCTTGTTCTTACTTAAGCATTTTCATGCTTGCCTGTCCAGCCATGATTTTTGTACTTTAGTGCCTGGGCTGTTTCCTCTTGTCAGGGATTAATCTTTCTGCCTGTTTTGCTCATCTTCCTTTATCTTGACCTTCTCTTCCCTTAGTATTTTACTGCAAAGGTTGGCAGCCCTCCAGGGGTGGCATGCCAGATGGTATTTTTCCTCTTGATTGGAGGTGGGGTGCCCTAGACAACAGCTAATCAGCAGCTTTTCTCTGTGTGAAGCAATAACTCCCAACTCCTGTGAAGTTTAGAGGTCAGCAGAAACTGGGAGCTCTGTGTGAGGTGGTGCAGCTCCTGGTGGCTTCCTGTGCACTTAAACCTGCTGTCAGCTCTCTGGGCCACAAGTTCAGCACATACCTTGTCCTAACACATCTTCTAGCAGTGCAAGGATGTGGTGCTGGTGGTGGGGAGAAGGAGCAAGCACACAGCAGGGAAGATATGAGACCACTTCCCTCCTAAGCAGGGATGGCACAGGAGGCTGAGCTGCTTCTGAGCCCTTTGGGATCTCCTTTAGATGCCTGGTTGTCTGTAGTGGAAGATAAGAGGGATTTTTATTTCAACTGAGAATTGGTCTTTCTCCCTAGTTAATAAGGCTTTCTGCACAGGGGCTTGAGGCATGTCCTTCTGTCCAGTCTACTATGTTTTTTGAGTTCCTATGTAATTCTGTTATGTAACCATAGGCCTGGCTCTTCTGGTCCTGAATAGTCCCTGAGCTCCTTAAAGGACAGGCAGAGGCTGTAGCAAGGAGCAGGTTTCCTTCATGATGATGCTTAGCTGGAAAGCTGTGGGTCTCTTGGCTCTAGAATGATTCTGCAGGTGCCTCTTACACAAGAGTTGTGGTGCTCTCTGGGTTGCCATGTGGCTTTTGGCAACTGGCTCTTGTTTTTTTAGCAACAGCTCTTGGGACAAATCTCTTCTGATCAACTTGGGCTTTCTGGAATGGGGAGCCAGAAACTTCCCAAGTATGAGGAATTGCCAGTGCCACCAATGTAAGCCTTATAAAACAGGGCAGTACCACTGGGGACAAGCTTTCTGCCTGGGGATAGTGCTGCCCCAATTAAGCACAAAAGCTTCTGAGCTGCAGCTCTGCTTTCTAACATCTTCCTCTGCCTAATGGCAGTCAGCACAGGGCGAATCCTCCTTGCTGACCACTGGGGGAAATGCAGGGAGCTGAGTGGCCCCAGCCAGCCCTGCTCCTTGCTTGGGGCTTGCTGACTTGCCTCACGGAGGGCCTGGCTCATCATTAAATGGGAACTCCTGCTGTTCTGCTAGCTCTGCTTCTTGGGGACCATCTGTGCCAGGCTGCCTGTGGCTAATTGCATCAGTATATTCACCTGCCTTGGATGCAAAACTGTTTTTAAAAACAAATCAAACTGCACAAACATGAGATGCTTTGAGTCTCTCTAGACAAGCTTATCTTCGAGTGGACTCTGGAGAGATTAGCTGGTAGCCTGAGTATCTTCCTGTGCTGGCTGTGTAGTGAGGCTGCTTCTGCTTGCCTTTCCTTGCCAGAGAAATACTATAAATCCTATAAAGGGATTAAAGGGTATGGGGACAGGACACAGCAAAGGACTAGTCTCACTTGTCTAGGACAAGTCTCCTACTGTTCATATGCAGAATTTGGGTGTTTTTGGGGAACCTGTTTAACACAACAATGTTCTCTGAGCTTTCTGGGTGTCCAAACATATGCAGTCATCTAATTCAATTTGTGTACTTGGTACCATCATGCAAGTCTCTTAATATGTTCTTTAAAAAGGCTCTGTTAAGCGTAATGTTCCTTTTAGAGCAGAAATGCCTTGCCATAACATCAGCTATGGCAGGTCTGGCCAGATGTGGCTGTGCTCCTTGGACACAGCTGAATTGGATAGTTATAACTGTATGAAATGGTGCTCTGTGTCCCTTCTGCAAGATCCCTGCAGTGCCCTGCCAGGCAGTATGGGAACTACTGTCTCTCATCACTATTGCTCCTTTCTGCCTCTCATTCCCAGCAGCCCCAGGACTGGGCCCTGTGTGAGTAGAAGGTGGATTAGTGCATGTTCTGGGGACTTTTCAAGGTCCCCCTAAGTGCATCTGTTAGGGCAGAACTACCCTGCTGCTGGTAGTGATGCCTGGTCCTGAGCATCACAGCTTGGGCCAAAAACCAGTTCAACCTGAGCAGTTGACCCAATTTATACAGCTGGAAGTTGGAAGTGGTGATCATGGAATTGCCTAGGATGGAGAAAAGGAAGATATCTCTGCCTTCATCATGCAGTGCTAAATCTTGCCTCTTTGATGCCCAATAGAGGCCAGTGCTGGTTGCCCTTCCAGCCTGGCTGGATGCAGCAGTAACAGCAGCTTGGTGGTGTCTACCTCTTTCAACCCATCAGTTATGAAAACTCTTCAGCTGTTGGAACCTTGTTTGCTGTGCTTGCTGCCTCTAGCTCATCAGTAAAAGCTCCATATTGTGTATTTACTGCAGCTAGGTAAGCCCTAACTTGTCCCCTTTGGCACTAAATTGGGAGTTAGAAACTTCCATTTTGGGATGGCGACAAGAACATACAAGAACAAGCTCTGGTTCTTTCTCCTCTTCCATAGGAATGTTTCTGATGCACTGATGTGGTAGGCTGCAGTGTAAGCTATTTAGCTAGGCTGATGTGGGCTGCCCAGAATGGTTTGTTAAAGTGATGGGGGATGAGTGGGGGAAAAAATGATTAGTGGCCTCCTAACTTTTGAGCCCATTACAGAATCCCTTACAGCAGTGCCTTGAGGAAAGAAGACTGAAGACAACTTCAGAAGAGTCTTCTCATCTGTTAATATCTCTGCAGTGTGAAGGTCCTGTCCCTTTTTTCTTGTACCTGGCGCTGAGGAAGCTGCTTAGGTAGCTCCAGCTTTCAAGCAGGCTGCTGGATGTGGAAGATGCTTTTGGCTTTGTGGGAGTGGAAGGTGCTTTGCCTGCCAAATGGTGTCTGAACAGGCAATGTCTCTGAAAATGGGCAGTTTAGACCAAGCTGCTGCAGCAGGTGATCTGAGAGCCATGTAGCTGTTGCAGGGTTTTTGTGTTCCTGAGTAATCAGGCTGTCTCCAACATGCAGCTGGTTAAAGCTTCCTCTTTGGGGCAGAGGAGCTGGGAAAGGAACATCAGGGAACTACAATATAGCTAAGGGCTGTGTTGTAAAGTGTGAGCCTGATTAAGTGTGGATATAACTATTATTACTCAGTCTTGACTTGCAGCTCAACTTCTGATTAAGGATAGTTTTACCTTCATTCTCCCAGCAGTGAAAGTCCTGAACAAAGTTGAAGACCATTAGGGAAATGCAAGGAGCAGGGTTGGGTCTCCTCTCTGGTGTGTTTTGTCTTGATGGCAACAAGGTGAGCTATTTCAGATGCAAGAAGAGGTCTTGGGCAGTGGGAGAGGTGCATCCCTGGGTGCTATAGCACACATTCAGCCAAAACAGCCCTGAGCAGCTCCAGCAGCTGCTAACTAGGTAAGGAATCACTGCAGGGTTCTGCCTTGTTTGGCTTGCAGCTGCTGCATAGGATGACACTGATGCTTGCAGTGCTCTGCCCAGGGCTGTCCCCACACTGCTGCCTGCAGTGGGCTGTGGAGAGGAGGTAGTCAGCTAAGCACAGAGCTGGAGCTGTCCTCAGGATCAGCAAATACAGTGTTTGTCTGTACAAAGACACCCCCAGAGCCCTGGCTGCACATTCAGAGCTGTTTTGCTCTATCTACTCTCAAAAGCTGTTCAAGAACAGCACAGGTCCAAGGCTTTCAATTTTCCAGCCCTAATGTATTCATGATATTTTAGTGATGCTGATTTTTATCTCTGGCTTTCAACAGTTTATGTCGCTCTGGCCTGTGTGCTCACATTTCCCCTTCCAGAGCACCCATGGAAGGAAACTGCTGCTTAACTGATCTTCCCTGCTCACTTGAGTCTTGTGCTACACTGGTTTCAGCCTTCTTGTTCATGGCCCTGCTCACTTGAGTCTTGTGCTACACACACTGGTTTCAGCCTCCTTGTTCATGGGTGTATCTGAGCTGTGTGTAATACAGGCTGTGTCTACATTTTTCAAGAGAGACTTCAGAGCTTAAAAGCACTTGATTTTTTTTTTTTTAAAAAAAAAAAAAACCTTTAAACCTTTCCACACTCCTGAGCTGTGTCACAGCACAAAACCTATTTTTTGGAAGAAAAGAGCATTTCTTTTTAACTGAAAATCAGGGCTCTGAGCAAGACTGTTTTGGATCCTGATTGTATGGATTAAGCTCTGCC